CATTGTAACTGTTAATAATAGTATAGGTGGTGATAAAAGTTACACTATAAAGATTATTGATGGTGGTAAGTTACTTAAACGCAAACCTTTATGGGAGGAAAATCAGTTTTACGTCGAATTAGGTCAAGGTTTTAGGTAAATTTATCAGATTAATGTAAATTTATAAGTTAAAAGTATTGAGTAAATTTATCAGTTGAAGGTATTGAGTAAATTTATCAGTTGGAAATATTGGGTAAATTTATCAGTTGAAGGTGTTGAGTAAATTTATCAGTTGAATGTATTGAGTATATTTATCAGTTGAAGGTATTGAGTAAATTTATCAGTTGAATGTATTGAATATATTTATCAGTTGAAGGTATTGAGTAAATTTATCAGTTGAATGTATTGAGTATATTTATCAGTTGAAGGTATTGAGTAAATTTATCAGTTGAAGGTATTGAGTAAATTTATCAGTTGAATATATTTGGTAAATTTATCAGTTGAATATATTGGGTAAATTTATCAGTTGGAAATATTGGGTAAATATATCATTTGAATGTGTTGAGTAAATTTATCAGGTCAATGTTTTCAATATTTATAATAGTTGAATGTTTTGGGTAAATTAATCCGATGAATGTATCAGGTAACTTTATCAGTTAATTGTATGAGGTAGATTTATCAGTTGAGTGTATTGGGAAAATATATCAGTTGAATGTATTGCTGAATTAAATTTAAGTATAAGTCAAATTTGATGAATAAAATCAGCTATTTCCACAGATCCTGTAACAAAAGTGGATCCTCGTGAACAATCTGGATATCAGGAAGGTTTAGGAACTGGTATTGGAATTGGTATTGGGATATTTGCTGTTATTGTAATTCTGGTTTTACTGACAATATTTATATATAGAAAATATTATCCAGGTATTGATCATAATTATTATAAATATTTGGGGGATCTTTAAAAAAAAAAGAAATTCTTTTGAGGATTATTTTATCATAACATTTAAGAGAGAAAGTCAATTTCAGTTAGGCCTACCCTTGTCTCTTATCGGAATTACAGTCTGACTTAACCTTCTCCTACATTCTGTCAGAATTGTGGCATTTGACAACCATTTACATTCTCGCGTGCAATTATTACCAATTATAATCAGGGCTTAATTACTGATACTACAAGGTTAATGGCAATACTTTCACGAAAGCGACAAATGTTTGAACTTCTAAAGAACGTTTTATTTAATTGTAAGTGAATTGGGTGTCGTATTTCAATTCTGAAAAGTATTTGGGATAGTTGAAATTGAGTCTTGTCAGTTGGTATAACAAATTCTTATTCTGCTTCGATATAAACGTAATCCAATTTTGTATTATTTTATTTTGTAGCCAATAAGAAATTACCAGAAGAAAGGTGAGTTATGTTTTCTCTCCTGATCTGGAACTTCTATTCCATTTACCTATTAAATTGAAAATAAATTAATAAATAAATAACTTATTCAGTCTTTCATACAATTTCAACTGCAGACTGGTTTGGTTGAGTACAGAAGTTTAAATCCTTATATCAAAATGTCGTTTTGGTCAAAACTGAAAAAAACATATTTGCTCATTTACATATTCTTATTTTACAGTTATGCAACGTTTTCCAATAGAATTCCAGAAGGTATATTATTACATATTATCATGGAATTATCACAATTTACACATTCAGTATGACTATCAATACTATACTCATAACGGTTCATCGCGCAAGTTGCGATGCCGCTTTACGTTGAAAAGAGCCGAGAGTCGCAGAATTTCAAAGCCCATAGATTGTAATTTTTATTCTAAGTTATTAGTTACTATGCACGCTTTTCTTCCCTACAGATAGAACATATGAAGATTTAAATACCCGTCCTGAAGTTAATGATAACAATCAACATAATTCTGGAGATGTAAAAGAAGTTGAAAATATAAGAAGAACTTAAATATAACATACTGTAACATCTGTTCAGAAAATTATTTTGCCCATTCCAAAATGCCATCTGGAAGCAGGGAAAAGAACGTTTAAGTAAAGGGCAAGTTCACTTTGGAATTCATAACCCCAATCTCTTAAATTGTCTTCTGAATTATGCCGTTCTAAAGGTTGACTTAAGAAGAAGCTGGTGCATAGTTCAAATTAAATTTTTGAAAAATTCATTTCATATTCTTTTTTGTTTTTTCATCATAATAATTCACTTTGATAATTTTGTAATAACTCTTTTCACCATATCCATGATATTTCTCCTTGTATATATATATATTAATTATAGTTAGATAGTGGATGTAGTAGAAAATGGATTTCTATCTTCTGCAGTTATCTCTCAAGGTCCATTTGATAGTATTTTTCATCATAAGATAAATATTATTTCGATTTTTTATCTTAAAATTGATACTATTTTGTAAAAAAAATTATAGTTTTTCACCTTTGATATGATATCACCCTAATGTTTCTATCTGTATATATGTTATTTGTGCTCAAATCACTAGGTCACCATGACCTAGGGTTAGAGAGTGTTAACCCTAGGGTTAAGGTTGGCGTTTACCCTAGTTTTTAAAAATCAATTAGGGTTAGCTCAGAAAAGGGTTAAAGTTTATTCCAAGATATTGCTTCCGCATGTTAAATAAAAGATCTCTTCGTTGCGCATCTGCTCAATACAAAATGGTATAGAAAAAAGAATAACACAGGGGTTTAAGGAATAAACACATAGAGTCCACTATATTTTGAGGTAGTGTAGGTAGTTATGAACACACTAAGTCTGTAGTAGTATCTATTTATCTTACCCAAAAATAAAGAAGACTGATTGTTAAAGGTTCAAATTGTACCCGGATGCGCAAAAATATCTACATGATGATAAAAGATTAGACCACATTCAATAGTTTCTTTATAATGGGAGACAACTTATTAATTAATATAAAGAATGAGACAATGAGAATGGGACAAGTGTGAGAGTGAGGTCTTTCAATCAAAATAAACAGAACAAATCAGAAATAAAAATCGTATTGGCACAACAAATTCCAGTAGTGCTGTTTTTTAGGTTACACGCACACTTTGAGCCTTCTATCTAATTGAACCTCGAAGTTGAGATTATGGGCTCTGTTCAACCGCTTTATGGGTTGGTGGCATCGGAAGGTGATCTTACCGGCTTTTTGTGGTAAACCTATTTTAACGTAATATTTTAGTGAAACCTTTTGTCAAATTTACCAAACAATTTTAGTATTTTGGTAGGTGTCTTGAATTACCGACTGGACTCAGTTGTTGAGCTCTTGAGTTATTCTGTAGTAAGGATACAGGAGATTGTATATAATATAATTTGAATATTGATGAATAACATGGAGTATAAATATATATTAATATTAATAGTTGTAGTCTATTTACCAGTACTAATTACAGGTAAGAGATGTATTTACATTGTATTTTTTCTCATATAATACATCTATAAGACCAGTTTCATGTATAAGACAAGTTTTTATGTAGAGTGAAATGACATAACAATAATAGTAAATATTACACTTCAACTTGTACTAAATGCATAATATAATAATATAATGAGATAACATGAATCGCACTGTGATTTTTGACTTGACCTAACTTTATGATTAATATTTGACTTTTACCTCCACAATATTTTCACGATATAGAATCTTTATATAAATAGTGGAATTCTTTTTCGTGTTGTATATTTTGTCAATTCAAACAAATCTGTAAGGATTTTATATTGAGAGGTTCAAACTGAAATATTCATCATAATATCAAGTTTCTATTAAGCCATGGCTTACAGTATTTTTAAGGTTTGTTCCAAAACTTAGATCAGATCGATAGTTGGTAAATAAAATGGTTGAATTCAGAATTAACTGATGAAATAATTTATCTTAACTAATGGAAATAATCTGAGATTGAAATATTGTACCAACGACAATTCTATGAGCTAATATCAAAATCAAATGGAATGAAAACTAGAAATTATTTATCATAATGTTTATATTACAGGTCAATATACTATAAGAGGAGTTCCTGAAAGTTATGCAGTGTTAGGTGAAAATTATAGATTACAATGTAATGTTACAGATTCTCCTAGTCTTGTTAGATTTTACAGAAACAATGTTATTGTATGTAGTTCATTGTCTTCAACCTGTGAGAGTCAACCAACAGACAATAGATATAAATGTGGATGTATAAATGATAACAACACACAACTATATCTCAATATAAGTAATATAAATAAACAAGATGATACAACATGGTCTTGTAGAGGTAATTCTGGTGGACAAGGATCAACTACTGTATCAGTTTATTGTAAGTTTATTTTCATTACAACTTATTTCAGATCATATTTTTTTCAAATTAATTCCTAAATAGACAAATATAAAATTCGTACAACAAAGATTGATTTAATTCTACTTGTGACAGTTTAAAACTACAAATTTAGATGTTGGCGCACAAAATAATGTTGATTTTTTTTATACAAGTATTCAGTTTAGTCTACATTTGAAGAAATAAGTATTCAAAAGTTTCAAATTAGGCATTACTAATTACACAGGGTTCATACACGCTTTGCCTCAAAAATTCAAAGACTTTTCAAGGACTCTGGGCTTGGAAATTCAAGGACTTTTCAAGGATATTAGTCTGACAGAATACACATGTACCTAACTTCTGAACTGTGAAATCAATAAAGATAGTTAATATTTGTCAATGGGGTTAATGATAAAAATATACACAATTTGACTCAACTCAAAATTCTAGGACTTTTCAAGAGAAAATGGGTTTTTTATGGTGTTTTCAAAGACTTTTTTTGAAATCAAGGTTTTTCAAGGCAACGGACGGAATTCAAGGGTTTTTCAAGGCTGTGCGAACCCTGTTACAAAATAGGCATCAGAAATTCAAACATAGGATTTGTTACTGTTAGCTGATCAATCTTCATTAATAATGTATGAGTAATAACGTCACCCCCAGATTTAGTCTGTTTTATTGAAATGTAGACAAACCAGACAAGTCGGATTATCTTTTTGAAAAGTGATTTGCACAAAATAAAGTTTTTCTTTTGTAAAGCATTATTTGTTTCAATTCAAAATATTATATGATTTTTATGCGCTCACATGCAATCGGGGGCGTATATTGGCGTCAGTCATGTCCGTCAGTCTACAATTGCTCGTAAACACTCAATGTACGATTCTTGCCGGATTTGACAAAGTTCAAAGGAAATGTATGACTGAAGGTTTGACTGAATATTTCATACTACTACTGATTGTTACTGTACTGTCAAATATTTTTATTCGAAATCAAAGCTGTCAGTGGGCGTATATTACTTTACCCGCCAAACTATCTTTACAGATGGTCCAGAGAATATAATATTTAACCCTACTAGTGATAATATAGATGTTATAGAAGGAAAGAGTCAGAATGTCAACTGTTTAGCTGATTGTAAACCAGATTGTAACATCACCTGGTCTAAGGATGGTTCAACAACAATTCTAAATAACCCTTTATCACTTAGTACTAGAGATCAAACTGGTTCTTATAACTGTACAGTTAGACATACTGTATTAAATAAACAACTTACAAAACAACTTAATGTTCAGATTTATTGTAAGTATATAATACTTTATTAATAAATACTAGATATTGGTTCTTATACCTGTACAGTTACACAATACTGTATTAAATAAACAACTTACAAAACAACTAAATGTTCAGATTTATTGTAAGTATATAATACTATATTAATAAATACTAGACAACAAACTGGTTCTTATAACTGTACAGTTACACATACTGTATTAAATAAACAACTTACAAAACAACTTAATGTTCAGATTTATTGTAAGTATATAATACTATATTAATAAATACTAGACAACAAACTGGTTCTTATAACTGTACAGTTACACATACTGTATTAAATAAACAACTTACAAAACAACTAAATGTTCAGATTTATTGTAAGTATATAATACTATATTAATACATACTAGACAGCAAACTGGTTCTTATAACTGT